CTACTCCCCATGGGCAGGCAGGTGTTCAGCCATCTCCAGGGAAGCAGGGCTCCATCACGCATAATGGTTTCTTGGAAAGACAGACGCCATAACTCCGAACGTCCCACCACCCCTTCCTTCTTCTTTGTCCCAGCCTTATATACTGAGCATGACGTTATATGGTATGGAATATCTCTTTGGCCAGCCTGGGTCAGCTGTCCCAGCTGTGCCCCCTCCCAGCTCCCTGTGCACCCCCAGCCTGCTCGCTGCAGGCCAGCATGAGAAGCTGGACTGTCCTTGACTACTTAGCAACAACTCAAAACATCAGCACTTTATCAACATTTTCTCATCCCAGATCCAAAACACAGCCTCACGCTAGCTTCTATGAAGAAAATTAACTCTACCCTGGCTGAAACCAGGACACATGGGAAGGTGGCAATCTATTAAAAACAAACTAACAAAATTCAGAATAAAAGTAGCTACAGTTAAATTCCTCTTGGATGGTCATCATAGCAAAAGGAGAGGTTATGTTTATGTTTGAGAGAACTTTCCTCTCCCGAATGAGATCCGAATCCTGTCACTGATTTCTAAAAACATAGTTTCAGAGTGCTTCTGTAAAATACTATTCAATTCTTTTTCTGTACTAGTTGGTAACCGTTGTGTTTGTGGCCGCAAAGGATTAAACATTGGTCGAAATAGCAAGACTTTCTGAAGCTGAAGTTAGCATACATTTCACAAGAATTTATGTGTGTTTGAGATTCTGCTGTCCAAATACTTGCAATTTTAGTATAATTAATACCTGTTGCTGAAGTCTTTAACTGTTATAACTTTAGCTTTTATCCCGCAAGACTATAGCAAGACTTTCTGAAGCTGCAGTTAGCATACATTTCACAAGAATTTATGTGTGTTTGAGATTCTGCTGTCCAAATACTTGCAATTTTAGTATAATTAATACCTGTTGCTGAAGTCTTTAACTGTTATAACTTTAGCTTTTATCCCAGGTTGGTAAGTATGTGATATAGTAGCATTCAATAGAATAAAGGACTGGAAAGTCGTAATGAAAAGTATTTGGTTCAGTAGGGAATTACAAATCTTTTCCCATTAGCTGACTGGATTTTTGGCATGAATTTAAAAAAGCAAGACTGGCACAGTGTTTGCTCCCTCCCTTTGTAGAGCAGGGTGGAAGGGAGGATTCCAGATGCATGGGACCTATGGCCTAGGCTAACTGCAGAGGAATCGTTCTACCTCAAGAGAAGAATTTTGTCCAGGCATATTTTGTGTAGTTTTTGCACCTCGCTTACCCATTATGCTGTTGGGGCACAATTTGAAAGTTAGTATCTTTTAAAGCTGTCTTTCTGTGCAAATCTGTATGATTGTTTCTCACAGTAAACAAGTTTTAATTTTTGGTTTTTTAGGACATCAGAAACAAATCGATCCTGAAACATTCAGAGATTTCTACAACTACTGGAAAGAAACTGAAGCAGAAGCTCAAGAAGTGAATCTGCCACCAACGGTAATAGAGCGTCTAGATAAAAATGAATGTGTCTACAAGTTATCCTGCTCAGTTAAAACTAACTATGGTGTAGGAAAAATAGCTCTGACCCAGAAGCGCTTGTTCCTTTTGACTGAAGGAGGACGTCCTGGCTATGTCCAGATTGCTGCTTTCAGGGATATAGAGGTGAGCACCAAGTAACTTCTTGTTCTCTTGCCTGGATATAGGCCATGTTCCATTCTGCAAAAAGATTTGTCTCTTAACTTAAAGTTTCAGTAAGGAGTGTAGGAAACAGCTCTGCAGTCAGTAACTTCTGAGTGATTAGATAAAATTCTGGGTCTTCGGACCAAAAATTTCAGAGCTGATGTAGTACGGTTTGCTAGGTGCTAAGATGACATAAAATAAAAATCCAGAGGTCGTAATCTCTAGATGTACAGAAATGTGCAAAGTACAGTACAAGGGAGATAGAGCCAGAGACATTTAATAACATGAGCGTTAAGTGTGCTTATTTGGCTGTGGTGTCAGCAAGCCAGCTTGTATCCACTGCAGAGCAAAGTCTGTATGATGTTGTTTGGAACTTATACTTTAATAAAACCATCTCTGCTTAAGTGTGTGTATGGACAATTGAAATAATTGCCCTGTAGGATGAGTTCTGTACCTTATCTGTGATTGCATGGTACATCTTCCTTGTTTTATTTTTTTATTTTCATACCCTTCCAGGATGTTAAGAGTACAACTGTAGCTTTCCTTCTTTTGAGAATACCTACTCTGAGGATTAAAACATTATCTAAGAAAGAAGTCTTTGAAGCTAACCTGAAAACTGAGTGTGATCTCTGGTACCTGATAGTGAAAGAAATGTGGGCTGGAAAGAAAATGGCAGATGATCACAAGGTATTAATATGGGAATTTCTAAGCTAATAAGTATGGAGTATGTGCTTTCTCTGTTCATGCATCAATCTTAGAATTTCTAAGTTTCAGCAAACAATAGCCAAGTAATAAGCTTACATTTTTGCTGTTACTTCTGAATATAATACTTATGGAATAATAAAAAGAAAAGAAAAAAGAGATTACATTTAAAAATGTATGATATTTTATTCTCATTCATTGGCGTGGAACTTTTAATTTAGTCACTAGTTCTGTGAAATAGTTTCTGAAGTTTGTAACGTATGAGAACAGTCATCCCAACTAACAGAAAATTTTCCCCACCTTGCTTCAAAATATAATGCATAGAAAGAGTTTTGCCATGCTGGAACCCTGGTGGCTATAGATCCTTTCAACGAATAGAGCAAACAGTGTTCTTCTGCCACAGAAACCTTGAGAAAAAGGATTGTACAAGCTGGGTTTCCATTTAAACCACATAATTCTTCATCACTGCTGAATTTAACAGTGAAAATGTAGCTTGGTCATTCTTTAGGAAGGATTTGAATCGTTAGCCAAGATGAAGCATAATGCGTACTTCCCTCCCGTGAAGAAAGATGCAGCCTGAAAATGGGTATCCATCCTATGTCCGCTGTATCTTTTCCATCAGTGCCATTCGTATGGTTTCGTTTGCACATCCTGTATCGGGATTGTGCCAGATCTGAAGTATTGTTTCAGTGTAATGAATTAACACTGGCTCCTGGTTCCCTGCCCCATGACCTTGCTTGGGAGTGGAACATGTGATTTGGGAGTGGGGTTTGACTGCAAGTAGTGTGAATTATGCTGCAGGGCAGCAACTGGCTAGTGCTTGTGTGAAGCATGATATGCGTTGTGATTGTTAAACATGGAGACTTGTAGGAATAATGAACAAGAGATAAACTACTGTAAGACTTTTGTCTTTAGGATCCTCAGTATATTCAGCAAGCACTGACAAATGTTCTCCTGATGGATGCTGTGGTTGGTGCCCTCCAGTCCTCCAAAACCATATATGCAGCCTCTAAACTGTCTTATTTTGACAGGATGAAAAATGAAGGTCAGTCACATAGCAGCGCTACAAAGCCTGCTGTTGTTGCATCATCTCTCAGCTCTTCCTATTTATATTCTGGTTTTCAAATGGATTATATGTAGAAATATAAAAAGATGTTGGTCTCATTGCACTTTCACAGACATAGTTTATTAAATAGTATTAATAGAAAGCTTAGGGGTTTGGGTTTTTTTTTCTTTGCTTCAGTGCATCAGAACCTCAGTTGGTATGTCTGTCTTCATGTTGGATGCTGTGGTTTTGTTTTGGTTGTTTAGACTGCTTGGGTGTTGTATGCATGCTTCTGCTATCAGAATTCATACAAATGGTGTTTGGGCTCTCCTCGTCAGCTAAGGCTAGAGGGAAAGAAAAGTGAGATGTGTGAATAAATGGTGCAGAATTGTTCTTTCATAAGAATTGTAGTTCTATTTCAGGCATAAGTGTGCACTTCATGACCTTTTGAAAATCTATTTTAGTGCCTATGATGGTCCCCAAAACAACTTCAGAGACATTAAAGCACAAGATCAACCCCTCAGCTGGTGAGACATTTCCACAGGCAATAGATGTCTTGCTTTATACGCCAGGTAAGGTGATGCATTGCTTGCTTTATGTTAGCCCAGCTTTAATTAGCCTATAAAGGATGTTATCTCATAACACCTGGTATTATGACTGCTTGATTTTGTTCACATTCTGACATGTTTTGGTTGTGTGTTGAATACTGAAACAGAAAATCATTAAAAAAGACCAGTAATATTGCATATTAAGAAACTACAAGGCTTAACTTTCACAGTCTTAATTTGTCTTCCTATGTGTTTATGCCTTATAGTAGACTTCAATTATGTGTTAACGTGCCGATTTCCCATTAAGACTTCTGCCTCACTTATTGAGCAGAGTGGATGAGTGATGCTCTGCCATTGATCAATATTCATTGTTATTTTTTTTTATTTTTCAGTAGAGTCATATGGGGGTGTTTGGTTGAACCACAGTGCAGGGAATAGTGCGCCACCTCTTGAAATCCCAGCCAGACCTATATGCCCATGACTCTTATTGTGTAGCATGTGATCTAATATTCTGTGCATCACATGTAATTTTAAGTCCATCCCTGAAGAAAGCATTATCAATTTCCTTGTGAGCTTTTCTGTGATACTTGGCACGTTTATATCTGACTAATTCAAAAAGCACTGGAGGGGAAAATAAAAAAGACAAGGACTTGTGTGCAACAGGCATGAATTTAGGTAGCAGATATGTTAGTTCTGGAAGTTCAAAACTCTTAACTTCATAACCTTATTAGTCTTCTGATGTAATTTCATATGTAATTCTTAGTATTTCGGCACTTTGAGACAAAGGGGGAAAGTTAGTAGAATTCCAAAGTTAAGAAAGTGGAGCAACTCTGTGGGTGGGTAGTAGTGGGTCCAGTGGTGCTTTTCTTTCTTTGTAGTATGAGGCTTTCTAAGTGGAGCTGTAATGGAGCAGATAGAATGAGCGGTTTATTAGTTGTGTTTCACAGGGCTTAAAAGCCTTCCTGCAATCCCAGTTAGCTAAGTACTTAGTCATCAATGAAAAAGTTTATCTCTGCTCTGAATAACTTTAAAGTGTAAGATGAAATCATCAGGTGAGGTCAACAAATAGATGAGAAAGAGCACAAATTCATTGTGAAAACTGTGTCATTCATTAACTGGTGATGTGAGTTCCAGAACACGGATGTGTTTCGTTACAAAGCTACTCTCCCTAATAATGGTTTTCCCACCAATCTCCAGCAGTGGTTTATTTTCTTTCACCTCTCTTGTCTTCTGCTTCATCTCTAGGGCATCTTGACCCTTCAGAAAGACCTGACAATGCTCATCCAAAACTATGGTGTGCTTTAAATGAGGGGAGAGTGGTGGTCTTTGATGCATCTACCTGGTCTATTCAACAACACTGTTTCAAAATGGGCCGCTCTAAACTGGTAAGACTAACACACCTATCACAATTACTGCTTTAGCTTGGTGGGTTTTTTACTATATCCTGTATGACCCCAGACCACTGAATCTGTTCAAGGAACACTGTACTGTCATTCCTTAAAAGTTATAGAAAGGCACTTGAGTTGTTTGGGCTTCAGTTAATTTGGAGAAATGGAGATTTTTGAGAAAAACAGGAAGGAGAGAAAATGGATTCATAACAAAACAGGTTGACTGGTGGGAAATGATGGATTGGATATCGGGAGGGCCTGCTGGCCTAATGGCATGGCTTGGAGCAGGAAGATGAGTTTGAAACAGTGGAGGAGAAAGAATAATGGAGAGAGTCAGTGTAAAGAGAAGATGACATGAGCCCTAAGACTGGATGAAAAGTCACCTGTGCCAAAGAACTGGAAATTGGGGAAAGGTGTAAGGAAACCAGGTAGATGATACTGAAGGAGATACAGTGCTCTAAAGAAGATGGCTCAACCAGCAGGTTAGAGAGAGTTGCTTGTGAAAGACCACTTGAAAGGAATAACTCTGTTGATGAAAGGGGAAGCTGAACCAGAGCTGCAGACTGAGTGAAAAACATGCAGTAGAGACAACATGCAGGAAAAGGGATTGGAGAGGTCACTTGTGTGAAATCTGAGAAACATCACTGTGGCTGTGTGTGGGAGAGAGACAAAAAGGGAGAGGTAAAGCTGATAGTCAAGGGCTGGGTGGAGGGAAGATGGAAATCCAGGAGAAGTCAGATACCGACCGATCAATGGTCAGAGGGCTGGAGCACCTCTCCTAT